TTCCTGACAAGAAAACGAATCGATTGATGTATACAAAGTATATATTTTATCGAAATTTATAAAAGTAATAAATATTTTTCTTCTTCACAAAAAATTCAAATTTTGTATTTTTTTCATAATTTATTTATTGTTAATATTAATATTTTGAAATGATTATTCTATCATAAAAAAAGAAGCAATTGGCATATGAAAGTGTAAATTTTACCAAATATTTATGTATTGAGGAAGCTAAATGGTCATGAAATGAACAACTTGTTTTAGAAAGGGCTTATTGTCTAGAACCACTAGACATAATAAGGAGAGTAGCTACATAGAATTGCGTTTTTTAGTAAGGGGTAGTGTTGCCGCAAGACGAGATTATTTTCAATCTCGTCTCGTCTTGAAATGTCAAGACCAACAAAGAGTCTTGTCTCGAAAATGTCTCGTCTTGAGACATAGAATCTCGTCTCGTCTTGAAGTCTTGATATTTTTTCAATTAATAAGGCTACTACAGGTTCGGAAAACAGGAAATTCAATAAAAAATAAGGAAAACTAAAATTATTCTAGGAAATCAGAGAATTTTATCAAAAATACTGGAATAAGTATTAACTTCCTAGAATTGAAGAAAAAGTTTTAATTGTTTGTGTTCAGCAACCTTTGAAGATATTAAAAACATTTAATTATTTTTTAATTTTCCGCATGTTCTGCTTATTAACTTTAAAATCAACCACAAATATTAATGCTAAACTTTAAATTTTTTCCATTTCTGACAATAAAATTGATCTTTACAGAATCTGAAATTGAATTTATTTTAAATAATTTAAATCATGAAAAAGTTTCCTAAAATTGTTATTTATAAAATATTCAGAGAATAATTTTACTTAAAAATTGAAAAATAATTGGATTTTAGAATAGTTGAATTTACATTCAATTTGTATAAATCATATGGAATTTCATATGGAATTTCAAATTTATCTTTAGACTTTGCTATATGATCAATAATTTAAAAACTATTTTCTTCCTTTAAATTATAAAGACTTATATGGTAGATTGAAAAATTGCGAAAAAAGTTAAGTGTTAAAACATTTTATTTTTTTCCATGTATAAAGATTTTAAATTGATGAAAATATATATATTTATTTATATTTCACATTAAGGGGGAGTGACACCTTTGACCCGAAAAAAAATTGATTTTATTTTTTTTGCTTAAACGATACTTTATGAGGTGTAGAATAGAAATTATATCATGAGAAGTAATTTCGAAGTTATTTTATGTGAAAAAATCGAAATCTGCACTGAAAAAAAAAATTTATTTGGTTATAATCCAATAAATGTGTATTTGAACCAAATACATATTTATTTGACCTAAATATTTTATTTTATCGCATCAAATAACTATTTATTTGAATCAAATACAAATTATTCAAATCAAATAAATGGAATATTTCAAGCTAGTAAATAATTATTTGAATCAATTATAAAAATTATTTCATTCTATATTTAATACAAAAATTTTTTTTTAAGTATTTAGTTTTTTTTTAATTTATTAATTTATTAAAAGTTGTGAGTTAATAAAGAGTGTAAAAAGAAGTGAAGTTGTTTTCTTTGGATTATTCCTTATTTATTCCTGAGGAAAACAGCCGCCGAGAAGCCAGTGAAAGAAAGATTGAGAAACATCGCTGGGTGAGTCAGTATCGTGCCAGTATTGTACCAGTCGTGTCTCGTCGTTGGCATTTCTGCTTGCCAATTTGTTCAGGCAGAATTTCCTCTGACGATTGAGAGCGTCTCAGAGGTGTTGTTGTTTGTCGGGTTGTTGTTAAAGAGTCGAGTAGTTTATTAATTGAGCTTCAAAATTAATTGGCGCCTGACGGCGAAATTTATTAACTTAAATTTCATATTATTATTTTTGTTGAAGGCGTCGGATTTTGCCTGACGTTTAGCAGAAACTTTGAACTAGAATTAAAATAGTTTAAAATTATACGTCACAATGTTTTCACATTACATAAGTTTAAATGCGTTTTTCTCGAAATGACATTTTTCAAAACGGTGGGCTGTCTAGCCAGAACAGTTTTGATCGGATTGACTTCGGCCAAAGTTTTTTTTGTTTGTCATTTACTAATGCTTTCGAGTACGTAGCGGATTTTTTTTTTTGGTTTGTTTTTTTTGGCAATAAATATTTTGAAAAAATTTCGCTCTAAAAATCGACTTTTTTCATCAAACAGCTGCCAAATACACAAAAATTAATATTTTTAAAATATCCTACGTACTCGAAAGCTAAATCTATCACAGATTCAGAAAAACTTTGAATTTTGGTTTTTGATTAAACGGTCTAACCAGAATATTGCCCACCGATTTACCCTGCATAGAAACAAGACCAACTTTGGCGCCCTCTGTAGGCAACAAATTGAAACTTTTTTTAAGTATAAATATATTTTCGTAAACTTAAAAAGTTAATAAATAAATTCCTCGAAACCAAATTTTGTTTACTTTATTCCTGTGTCTTAAATAAATTCATGAAAAACAGGTTCAAAAGGCACCTCAAAGATGTCTATCCCCCTTAAACTAAAATTTTAGATTTATAACTAAAATTCACAGCGTAATTTCATAAAATATAGATGTACTATTTTACTATATTTTATGGTATAATAACTTATTCAATTTTTAGTTTTTCGTATTTTTCTAATCCGACACTGTATTTAACAATAGTTTTCGAGTCTTGAATCTTGTCTTGGTCTTGACAGTTATTGTTTTCAAGTTCATCTTGGTCTTGGTCTTGACGATGATTGTCTCGTCTCGAAAATCTCGAGTCTTGCGGCATCACTAGTAAGGGGCCGTCCATAAACCACGAAGCCCCATGTTTTGGGAATTTTTACCCCCCTCCCCCATGTAGTACACGGAGAAAATTGGAAAAATGATTTATGCAGTCAGTGTAGTACTCCTTTATAGAATAATATGTGCCAGGTACACACTATAGTATTAGAAGTTTCATAGCTGAACACTTTGGGACTCAACACAAGTAGTGTTCTAAGTCGGTTATATTACCCAGAGAATATTACCGAGAATATAACCGACGATTAAATTCTCTGAGAATTTAAGAGAATGTGACATAACCTCACTTTTGTCATTACACTGTGGTAAATTCGATTGTCCGACGTTGTGTTTTTATTTAGTAATTGTTATTTTGTTTATTAAAGTGGCTATATATATTTAAAGATTTAAAAAATGACAAAACCAAAGAGTGTAAAATAGAAATATTTTAAAACCAATGAATACAAAAACAATTAAATTCTTCTGTAAATTTTGTAAACAAGAATATGCCACAAATGCTATATATATTAAAGGTACTTCCCAGTAAAAAAAAAGTATTCAGAATAGAGAAAAAGTATTGGTGGAGACGTTCGGTGAATGCGTTTTCGCGACAAAACCGTATTGGTGGGTTACGGTAAATACATTTTGCTTACCCTGAATACATTTTTTTTAAACTTTCGATTTAAAGATTCCTAAGCAAAGTTAAGAATATTTATAAAGAGCGTAAGTGACCTGAAGTATAAAAATGACGATTGCGAGAAGGAAATAAAAAATTTTGAGAAAAAACGAAAAATTAAATGTGGCAAACCTTTAACGTATGATGGTGAAAAAAAACGATACCGACAGAAACTTGAGAAATCCAAGTAAATGTATGTGAAACAGTAAGTTCCACCGGTAACGTCAAAGTTCCTTTTAATCATCATACGTTGTAGGCACAGAAAAGCATATGGTAATTGAACAACATTTGACAATGTGTTTGTCACATTTAATTTTTCGTTTTTTCTCAAAGTTTCTTATTTCCTTCTCGCAATAGTCATTTTTATACTTCAGGTCACTTACGCTCTTTATAAATATTCTCAACTTTGCTTAGGAATCTTTAAATCGAAAGTTTAAAAAAAAGTATTCACGGTGAGCAAAATGTATTCACCGTAACCCACCAATACGGTTTTTACGCGAAAACGCATTCACCGAACGTCACCACCAATACTTTTTCTCTATTCTGAATACTTTTTTTTACTGGGTTGCACAGCTCTACTGACTGCAGGTTGTCATGGTAATACATAAGAGTAAGAGAGTCAGAAAATTCAAATTAAATGGTTTTTCTCTCTTACTCTCGCAGCAGAGCTGACAGAGAGCCTTTATTCACAAATAATTTCAAAATATTTATTTAAAAAATGTTTAAATTCATTGTATATAATGTTAAATATAATCCTTATTCTTTATTTATATATATATATATATATGTCTATATTCAAAAGTATCTAAACTTTTATTCGTACTAAGTTACGCATATTTTATAAACGTAAATGACATTAAATTTATAAGTTAAAAAATATGTGGTTTTACTTTTTTTTATTTACATATATAACTTAAAGAATTCTTTTAGATAAAAGTAATCATCGCAATTGTGCTGAAATATATGTATTTATATTAATAAAAATAATAAATATACATTATTTAAATAAATAAACTTAAATTCTCTTTCTCTTAAAAAAATTAAATTACCGTAATTTCCTTAGGGAAATTACCCCAACTTAAATTCTCGAGAATTTAAGAACACTAATTCTAATAGAGATTTATTATTCGCAAAAAGTTTTCAGTTTTCTGCCAGCATGGGCCTGGGGACTGCACCTTTAAAGAATATGACAAAAACAAAAACATCGATTCTCAACATCGATTCTTTAAAAACATCGAATTTGAAACATCGATGTAAAAACCATCGATATCGAAGAGGAAACATTCGATGTTTTCGAATCTCTAACTCAAACTTCAAAAAGGCATAACTTCCTTAAAAATAGTTTTTATGAAAAATAAAAAAATACTTGTCTCTTTATTTTTCATATAGAATAACATATTTTGTTAGCAGGTAAATATATGATTTGAAGTTGGTCGGTCTGCATGATTTAAAATGGATTCAGCCCCTTGTTAATTTTTAAGAATAACTTGAATATTTTCAAAATTTACTAAATGTATAATAAAACTTTCGTTTGCAGATTGAAAACCTTTTTTGCCTCGGTTCTCCTTTGTCAGTATTTTTAGCTCTACGAACACGTGCACCATCAAATAGATTAGAAGTAATGCCTGAAAAATTGTGTAAAAGATTTTATAATATATTTCATTGGTCTGATCCAGTAGCATATCGAATGGAACCCTTATTAGAGAAGGCGTACAGTAAAATTGAACCAGTTTTGATCCCATCATATGGTGGTCAGCAACTATTCAACAATCAACAACAGTCGGAAGAACAAGAACCAGATGTTCCAGAAATGGAAGATGAAAGACCGAACGTAGACTTTGTACATGAACAAATGCAGCAAGTCCCCACTGAAGCAGATGATAAACAAAATATATCACTTCAAGGTAAAATGCAATTAAATGTTAGAAACAATTTGCACGCTTATTCTTAAAAAACGGGCAAGGATTTCAAAAACCAACCCGCTTGTAGCTTTTGTCAACAAAATATAATATATATATATATATATATATATATATATATATATATATATATCTACCTATATTACAAAAAGATATCGCCGCCGCCGCTGTTTCAAGATTCTGTAAGGGCGCCCTATCCCAAAGGGGCCGTCAAAATTTATGTCAAAATTGACCTATTTTTTGACCTATAGGTCGAAAAGAGGATAAATAACGGCCTCACATTACGTTAAAATATATGTCAAAATTGACCTATTTTTGACCAATAGGTCGAAAAGAGGATAAATAACGGCCTCACATTACGTTAAAATATATGTCTAATTTGACCTATTTCTTGACCTGTAGGTCAAAAAAGGATAAATAACGGCCTCATATTACATTAAAATCTATGTCTAATTTGACCTATTTTTTTACCTATAGGTTAAAAAGTGGTCTCCATGTGGGCCCCTTACATTACGTCAAAATCCATGTTTAATTTTACCTATTTTTTGAGCTACGGGTTTTAAAAGGGGCCTTAATGTGGGCCATTACATTACGTCAAAATTTGACCTGTGTTTTACCTACAGGTCAGAGCTTGCCCCCTCAAATAGGAGCGCCAAATAGGACGTCAAAGCCTATGCCAAAGACAAATTTTTTACTCGAAGGCTGTTACAAAAATTTTGTTACTACAAAATTGATGACAAAAAAATGCGATCTTATGACATTAGCCAATCTGAAATTTTTAATTATCATATGTAATAAAAATGATTAGAAATCTTTTTAAATTTGGTTTTTAGCCAAATTCTTTAAAAGTCAAGTAAAGTTTGAAATTTAATTAAAAATTTATTTTAAAATTCAAAAATTGTAAGTGCATACACATAAGTACATTTATTTATTTTAAAATTGAGTTTTAATGAATTATTTATTATGTAAATATATTATACAATTAATTAAAAATTTAAGTTACATTTTTTTAAATATTTAAAATGATAATTTTTAATTTTTGAAAATTAGTTCCCCCCCTAAAAGTAATTTATCTAATGACATATTTTGTTCATTGGGAAGACTTTGGATATCTGAATTTTTGTTTATCTTCAAAAAAATACTTCCTGCATCTGAAAAATATGAAGTTGAAAAATATAAAGTTTAATAAGATATAAAGATATCACCGCCGCGAAAAAAAATTATTTTAAAAAACATTTTTTAAATATTTTATCACTTTCTTTAAGCAGTCCAACAATTTTTAATTTTTGTCCTTGATTAAAATTTGGTTCTTCTGTATCATTGGAAATTAAAACTATTAATTTTAATTCTCCATTTGTAAATGTTCCAAAATATTGATTCGATTTCAATTTGTTAATAATTGTAAATTCGTCTCTTAGGTATCCCTCAATTTCGACCCACTTATCCAAATTTTGTAGAATTTGTAATTTTTCAAAATTAATTTTGACTATTGTTTTATTGCTTTCAAAACTTTTAAATTCTCCTAAATCTGTTAATTTTGTAAAACTTTTAAGCAAAAATTCATATCCCATTGATCCTTGATTGAATGGTGATGGTGATTTCACAGTTAAATTTTGTAGAAGTATTTTCTGTAGTCAAAAAATCCGATTATTAAAAAATAATGTAATTAGTGTTAGACCTCGGATCGTTTTTAAGTCACAAAAAATCAATTATTTTCAATAAAATATTACAAAATTTAATTTTTATGAAGTCGCAGATTTTGAAAAAAAATTGAAGAAAGTTGTTCTTTCTATTAACTATCCGAGGCCTGAGTATAACTAAATTTGGATATAATTTTTTGTACTCTATTGGGTTCTATCATTGCTCGAAAATGTGTGGCGTTAGTGCCCCAAGAATTACAGGTTATTGTAGCACCATCATTATTGTTTATTAAAAATTTAAATAAAATATAATCTTTAGAAGCGTTTATTTCAGAAGTTTTTAATTTTTGTACTTGCTCGACGTAACAAACAACGGATCTGTAATTAATGTAAATAGCATCCTTAAATAATAATTATTTTAACCATTTATTTACTTTTAATTAAAAGTAAACAAAATTTAGGTTAATTAGATTTAGTCAAAGAGAAAATGAGGAAATTGTAAACAACTAATATTTTAAGTAATTTTTTTCACTAACCAAAAAAATCAAAAAGAAAATATATTTACATTAATTTATGGTTAAAAGGAAAAGAAATTTGGAAACCAAATTCCAAATTTACTAACCAAAGAATTGTTGGTTCTATGATTTAACCAACTATGATTTATTTAACCAATAAATTTAAAAAGAAAGTAAATTTACATTAAATAGAGGTTAAAAGGAAAAGAAAGAAAAATTATGTTAATTAGACTTAGTCAAAGAGAAAATAAATAAATAAACTGTAAATTAAATTAATTCATTCAACTAAAAAAATCAAAAAGAAAGTAAATTTACATTAGTTAGATGTAAAAATGAAAAGGAAGAAATTTTTTTTCACTAACAAAAAAAATCAAAAAGACAATAAAATTGCATTAATTAAATTTGAACAAATTAAGAAAAATTTGAAATTGAAATTCTATTTTACTGTAAATTAAATTAATTTACCAAAAACATCAAAAAGAATGTAAATTTACATTAATTGGATTTAAAAACGGAAAGGTAGAAAATTCACTAACCAAAAAAATCAAAAAGAAAATAAATTTACAGTAATTAGAGGTTAAAAGAAAAAAATTTAGTCAAAGAGAAAATAAATCCATAAATGTTTGTCTAAGAAAAATTTGTTCAAAAAATCCAGTTTTCTTATTGAAATTTTATTTTACCGTAAATTAAATTAAGGAATTTGGAAACCAAAGACTAACCAAAGAATTGTTGGTTCTATGATTTATTATTTTTATGTTATCAAGTAGAATGAAATATTCTATTATTATAATATAATTTTAGGATTATAACTAAAATATTACTTACGTAAATTTATCCTTTATTTTAATATTATTTTCTAAAAATTCGCTGGTTGTAAACGGTAGATCAATATTTAATTTAATTTTCTTATTTTCTGACGATGATTTGTTGGATTGAGAATTTTTTCTTTTATTTTTCTCTATATTATCCATTTTTAAAATTTATTAATATAATTTAAAATTTAATTATAAGTTTATTATAAGTACTAATAATTTTGAAGTTCTTATTGTGAAAAAAAGGGTTAATAACATTAAATTTTGTAAAACTGACGTCATTTATTTTGACAACTTCACGTCATTTATTTTGACAACTTCATGTTATATATTTGATATGACTTACATAAATTTCCGTATTTCTCTGTAAATTAAATATGAACCTAAACGCAAGAAATTAATCAAGTTTGAAATTCAAAAATATGATACAAATAATTACATATAAATAAAATAAATAAAAATAAATATGATAAAGGATAATTAAAAAATTGAATCTAATAAAAATTAAAAAACAATTTCGAACAAATATTTCAAGAAACAATATAAATGAATATAATTAGGAATAATGAAAGAATAAAAAATGTTGTGTCTACAAAGAATATGAAAACAATTAATATTATCGGAAAAATATTTCAAAAATCACAGTTTTTTAATTCATAATCAAATGATGCCAGTATTATTGGAAGGTTTACGTTTTAAACATAAAAATATTTGAAAAGAAAATTACGTGAGTAAACAATAACCACTATACATTAATTTGTACTTATATTATTCAAAATTTAAATTTATGAATTATTTTTTCTTTTTATATTAATTTTTTACACTATTAAAATTAATTAAAAATTTAAGTTTAAGCAAAGTTTATTTAGGAAAAATGAATTTCGAAAATTCTAATATTAAAATTATCGGCGATGGGAACTGTTTATTTAGATCTTTTTCGTATTTTTTGTATAATGACCAAGAAATGCATAGGAGAGTACGATTAAATATTGTCTCATATATTTTAAATAATTGGAATTTTTATGAACCATTTATAGTAGGGGATAATTCATATAGTGAAATTTTAATTGATCAAAATTCTTATAAATTATACATGTCCAGAAATGGTAAATACGGGGGGGAAGTTGAAATTCAAGCGTTTGTAAATAAATTTAAAAATTATGTAGAAGTTCATCATCAGATATTTAATAATAAATCAGTTTTTGGACACAATAATAGTGAACGCAAACTTATTCTTTTATTATCGGGAAGCATTGATAGTGGACATTATGATATAATTAATTGTATAATAATTCTTTTTCCAAATTTTGTGAACAAAATTATAATAAGTTATATTACGAAAAAAATAAGGAATTATTGAAATTAAAAAGAGAAAAAAATATTTCAAATGATTTATGTTCGGAGCGTAAAAGAGAAATTACAGTCGGGTCCCCATACTGTTAGATTCCAAACTGTTATGTCCTCAGTAGTGTTATGTTTTTGCATAACCTCCAAATTCAGAAGTGTTAGGTGACGTCACGTTACGTCACTAATTTTCAGGGCCGTATTCTTAAGACAGAGGAAAAGGGTGCATATACTTCTAGGCCAAACTTGAGGTGTATATATTTACGTTCCTGAAAGGTGCACAGTAAGCATAATTTGAACACATAACAGAGCTGAGTCTGGAGAAGTGGGAAATTTTTGAAAATGTAACAGTATGGGGACCCGACTGTAATAGGGTTAGTAATATGAGTAAAGAAAGAGCAGAGAAAAAGAGAAAAGGAGACTTAGTTGCAAATTTTAGTATTAATCGTTTAGAGAAAAAGCACAAAAATGATTTAGCTGAAAACATGGCTATGGATCGTTTAAACAAAAAACGGAAAACAGACTTAGTTCAGAATATGAAGTCAAAACGTTTAGACAGAAAAAGAAAAGGAGATGTAATCGAGAATATGGATGCAGAACGTTTGGAAAAGAAAAGAAAAACACATTTGGTTGATAACATGGACATAAAACGTTTGGACAGGAAAAGACAGACC